CGGGAAGGGGCTGGGGCAGTCTGAAGTTCTTGTCTTCGTCAGTCTGGGCTGCTATAACAAATGACCAGAGATTGGGTGGTTTATCAATAATAATTTACAATAGAAGTTGATTTCTCACAATTCTGGAGGCTGGGAAGTTCCAAATCGGTGCCCTGGCAGATTTGGTGCCTGATGAGGCCCATTCCCTGGCCCACAGGGGCGCCTGCTCGCTGAGGCTTCTTGTGGTTGAAGAGGCAGGCAGCTCCCAGAGCTGGCCTTTGCAGGGACACGGATGCCCTTCATTAGGTCTCTGCCAGAACACCCACTTCCCGGTACCATCCCTTGGTAGTTAGGGCTCAGCGTAGGAACAGGGGCACACACATGCAGACCTCAGCCCTGGGATCATGGGAAGAGAACTAGATGTGTTCAGGGCCGTCGCAAATTCCAAGGCATGACTGAGCACCAAGCCCTGGCCCCAGCTGGTTAGGCAGAGCCTCGACCCACCATTGTCATAAGACGGTCCCAGCCCAGAGGATGTCCCATCCAGGTTGCAGGCACTCACCGACCGTTACATGACCACATCCTCCCCAGGGTCAGACACCTGCTGGAGAGGGAGAAACCCATCTTGGGAACCAGGGGATGATGTCCCTTTGTGCATCACATGGTCAGATTGGTGAACTCTGCAGAGCCCTTCCGGGTTCACTATCCAAGTGATCTTGCACAGAGTTGCTGGTACAGCAGCAAGAGATGGGGACGGCATGGGACCTGCTAGAGCAAGTCGGTGTGGCCGTGGCCCCACCGATTGTGTTCAGCTCCCCCGAGGGTGATCCGGGAAGAGTGCTCTTACGTGCTTTTCCATGAAGCGCCAGTTCCTAACCTGAGATCCCCGTCTCCCGCAGTGCCATCAGGATCAGCCGGAAAGGCCGGCACACACTCCTCAACTTCTGCTTCCACGCAGCCCTGACCTTCACCGTGTTCGCTGGTGGCATCAACCGCACCAAGCACCCAATCCTGTGCCAGGGGGTGAGTGTCACTGTCTTCATCCTGCTGCAGATGCCAGTATCCTCGATGTCCCTGGGGTGGGAGTGGGGCCCTGCCTCCTGTGGCTGGAAAGGGAGTCAGGCATCCGTCTGGCAGTCCACGTGACAGCTGTGTTCCACCTGAAGCCTGCGATTTGCTCAGCTTTCAATCATGCGGAACAACATATTTTCCACTGGCTGGCCTGCTCTGGGGCCTCCTTCCCAGGAATCGGGATAGGCTGCCCCTCCTGAAGAGACAGTTGGGTGGGGCTCAGGGGAGGGACCAGTCAGACTCCCAGATGCCACCAGCCTGGAGTCAGGAGGAGCTTTGCCACATGCAGGCCACGTGTGGTTCTATTCTCTCAGGGAAGGTAAAGCCCATGGCAGAGGACGTTCCTTAAGAACCAGGCCTAGTCCTGTTCACGTTGGGCTGTGGCTCTGGCCAAGGAGCCCCGCTACGGTTCCAGGGTGGCCTCTGTGTGCACACACAAACCCCCAACCTGCTCTGAACCCAGGCTCCATGGGTGGGGCTGTTCCAGGACCCAGAGCAACATGCCAAGGACCATGCAGTCTGTCACTTCTTGGGCCAGCGTCTGTCTGGGCCCCTGGGGCCTCAGGCTGGTCCCTTGCTGCCTTTTTTACAGCAAATATAGCAAACACCTATTGATGGGCAGGGGCGGAACCTCGGCCCCATTCCTCAGGCCCCTGTGACCCACACGGCCCTCAGTGGCTGTTGGCATCCCCTGACCTGTCCAGCTGCAGGTGAGACTCGCCCCAGGCCTCTGTGTGCCTCAGGAGCCACCCAGGCTGTGAGTGAAGCTCTCCTCCGCTGAGGCACCCACTAGCCACATCCCAGCACCCTCGGGGCTGCCTTCTTTCCCAGAACTGACGTGGGTTGAGTCCTAGAGAGTTCCATGGGCAGGGCACCCACACCTGGGAGACAGTGCTGGTGCCCCAGAGCCCTCCCACCAGATATTCTAAATGTGTCATGTCAGACCCAGGAGGCCGGCCCGATGCCCAGGCCCAGGCAGGAGAGTTGGAGATGTGTGCCTGAGGAGGCCCCCAGGTGGACAGGCTCCGGCACTGCCTCTCAATGAGCTGGAGCCATAGCAAGCGCCTGGGGAGTCCCGATGGTGTGCTGCTGTAAATGCACCTGGGGCCATCCGAGAAGTGGTCAAGTGGGTCATTATCTCTATGTCCACACGTGGCCTCTGATTGCTCCCCAGCTGGGACCTGCCAGCCACAGAGCCCATGGGAATCACCTTGGGGACTCGGGGACCCTGCCAGGCCTCCCAGAAACCTGTACCAGTCCCCAAGTTCAAGCCAGTCTGGACCAGCCCCTGGAGCTTGAAACCAGCCCCACCCCAGTGATGTCTTGGCCCGTGGGGTGGATCAGGTCTGGAAATCTCAGTCATGGTCTATGGAGGTCATGACGTATGGTCAATGCTCCCGCCATCGTGACAGCCGCAGGAACCTCTGGAGGGAATGGCCCTCTGCAGGCTGACAGAGGAAAGATCATGACCCCTGCAGATGCCGTCCCCACGTCTTGCTATGGTTCCAGAAGGGGCAGGCCTTGTCACTACTCACCCATTCACTTGGCCAACATGCCTGCCAGGTGCCAGGCCATACCATGGATGTGGAAGCAGCCGGAAACACTCCTGCCTCACTCAAGTGGTAGAACTTGACTCTGGGCAGCAGCAGGCAAGACAAGCCCAGCCACAAGCTAGTAGCACCCTGGGAGTGGCTAAGCTACTGGCCGGAGGAGCAGAGCCTGGCACTGCAGCTCAGGACACCCCCGTGCAGGCCGCAAGGTGTAAGACCACAGCCTGTGGACCCACATGGCTGCACATTGCAGGGCCCTCGAGAGGGAGCTAGGGGTTCTGATCTGCAGTCAAGCAGGAGGAAGGGGGGCCAGCCTGGGCATTCACACAGCATGGCACCTCCCACACCAGCTGCAGGGGAGAACCCAGGGGCCAATGCCTCCAGCTCGCCACTCACCTGTGACCACAGCCTGACATGGGAGCAAGGGCTCCTGGCCCACTCCCGAGCAACACAGCAGAATGCCTGGAGAAGTGGTCCAGCCCTCTGTGTGGCTGGGGAGAAGAGACGGTTGCTATGGCGACAGAGATGACCCTGAGCCTCTTTGAAGTATTAAGTGACATCATAAGTGAAACGGGCCACCGCGTGCATCAGTGCTGGCCCTGAGCCCAGAAGCGAGGGCGTGAGCGCTGCTGTGTGCTGCTTCCTTTCCCGCAGTAGCCGGCTGCGCTTTGGCCTCCCCACGTGTCCAGCATACAGCTGGCGTTCAGGAGACAGAGTCCTTCCATTCACATACTGCCTGGCCAGGCCAGCCCTGAGCTCACCTCCCTCCCTGAGCTCTGTCACCTTCCTTGGCGCCCTGGGCTGACAGTTGGGCTTCTTCTGAGGATGTCTCTGAGTTTCTGTGTGCACATGACAATGACGGCCACACGGGGATTCCTGAGAAGCAAGACCCTCCTTCAAGCCAGGGCCAGGCCCAGGTGGCCACTGATGCCCACACTCTTGGGTGCAGAGAGCTCCAGCGCCTCACACTCTTGTCCGGGCTGGGGGCCCCCTTAGTCCTTCAGATGTGCACACCAGCCCCCACCCCAGCCAGGGGCCCGGAAGGCACAGGAGAACGCGGAGCCACGCAGAGGGAGCTCCTGCAAAACCATAAACAGAGTTCTTTGACCTTTCCACCCCCACAAAATCCACATCAATCATTACAGAGTTTGCTCATAAGTAAAAATTGAACTCCGGATTTGATAAATCATTTTAATGGTGCAACATTAGCTTTTTCGGGGAATCTCTGTATTCCTTAAACGTTTATGTCCTTCCCAATTACAGCAATATTTTACTTGTCATTTTGAAATGTCAGGTTATTACCTTGAAGGTAACCTCGTTTCATGAAATGAGATGGAAACGAAGTAGTGCAGAATGTGTAATTAGCTAGCGCACAAGGGCCGGGGATGGGATGCAGCTCCCGCGGCCGTTTCCATGGTAATGAGTCACTCTGACGCGGGTGGCTGTCCAAACCTCTCCGGCAGTGCTTTTCTTACGTAATGCCACAGACGGCAGCACACACAGAGCCCCGCAGTGCAGCTGCCTCCCCTTCCACTGGGCACCCCTTGTCATGGGACTGCAGAGGAGATGCGTGGGGCTGGCGTGGATGCTGCCCAGGAAGGGTACTTAGGCCATGGGCTGCCTTGGGCGCCCGCCAGCTTCTCTGCAAGAGATCAAAGTGGCACAGTCAAGGGTCTCTGCCACCCTTGCTGGTGCCCCGACACCCTGAGCCTTGTTTCTCGTGGCTAACGGGCTGTAGGAGCTGCTGGTACAGGGGTGTGGTCCCAGCCCACCTGGTGCTCCTGGGAGGCTGGCCGCCCGTGGCGGGGGCGGGGGCTGCAGCTGACACCTCTCCCCCTCCAGGTGGGCATCCTGCTGCACTACTCCACACTGTCCACCATGCTGTGGGTCGGAGTGACTGCGAGGAACATCTACAAGCAGGTGACCAAGAAGGCCCTGCCATGCCCGGGTGCAGACCAACCGCCATACCCCAAGCAGCCCCTGCTCAGGTACACAAGCCCACTCACTGGCACAGCCCCTCCACCACCTGAGACCCTGCCCCAGAATGTGCCTTCCACGGGTCTGGGGAAACTCCTCTCTCGGCAACTCCGAGCCTGAGAATTATCAGATCTTCCTGGGTCACTTGGGGCCCGATGGGACTGGGGACTGGGCAGCATGGGGAGGGCGTCCTGAGGTGGGGCTGGGGACAGTTGCTGGGTGGGCTGGGAGTAGCATGGGAGCAGCAGGCCACCACACCTGTGACTGGGGACCAGGTGCCCCTGTGCTGGGTGCTAGAGTGAGGCCCTCTGGGCCTGGGGGCCGTGCGTGGAGGCCGGACGGTTGTGGCTCCTTAGCTGGAAAGCCATCACTCACTCGGGCAGTAATCTTAAGGTGACTGTGGCCTGGCATGTGGGACTGGGAGGACTGGTAAAGGGGCACTGCTCCTTTCTCAGGGGACTCACAGTAGATGTGGCAGGAACCACTGTGTGCTGGGGCCCTGGGGACAGCCTGAGGACAAGGGCAAGGTAGTGGCCTCCCTCTCGTGGGGCAGAGCAGGGAAGTCCCACAGGACCAGAGGTCCCCAGCCCCTCACACCAGCAACCATAACAGGAGAGCAACAGGAGGTCTGCCATCCACTCTTCTAAGTGGAGACTGAGCCTCAAACTCTGCAGCCTCCACCTTCCAGCTCTGAGCAGGCCTCGTCTCTCCTGTCTAGAAGGTCACTGGGTCTCCACCTTGAGCCTCTTACTGAATTTTCCTGGAATGACCTACATGTGGTTCCTGTGAGAGCCACCTGCTGCTATGAGGAGCGATTCAGGGGCTGTGGAAGCCCAGGCCCTCATACCGCTCCCTCTGGCCCTGACCTCGAAGGGCTACTCCAAACTCCACCAGGGTCTAGCACCATTGGAAGAGCATCTGGGGGCAGGCGACCCAGGGCAACCCGCAGCCCCTCTGCAGCTCTGTGGCCTGGCCTGTGCTGGTGGGAATGTGTGGCACCTGCCCCTCCCCAAGAGTCTATAAGCTGGAGTCTTTCCTCTCAGAGACCCCAAGGGCCCTGAGCACACTTGACAACAGCCTTGGCCACGTCCTCTTTGACCCAGCATTCCACTCAGAAGTGGCTCTTCAATGGGTGGCTAGGCAATGGGCATCCTGGGTCTGCACTGCTGGCCCCAGGCCCAGAACTCACATGCAGTCCAGGCATTTCAATCACAGAAAGCAGGTCTGAGCCCCAGGAGCTGTTCGGCCCCAGGAGGCCGGAGCCTTGGAGCACCTTAACAGGTGCACATCCTGCTCAACAGCCTGGACAGAACATTGCCCCCTTCCTGTTGGACCCTTGGCCACGGCAGCTGGGCAGCCAGTTCCTATGGGCAGCAGGCCGTACTTCTATCTGAGCTTGAAGGAGTCCTGAGTGTCCTGGCCCAACCTGAAGTTCTCCAATGGGATAAAAAGAAAATAACGTCCCAAATGCTCTGCAGGATGCCCAGTGGTGCTCTGGGGCTCCCTGCATCCTGAGAAGCCTCTTCCTGAGGCCACACGGGGTTCTGTGGCACTCCACACCCCTCACTGGACATGGGGAAACCAAGCGCATTCCAGGAGAGCACAGGAAAGTACAGCCATGGGAGATGTTGCAGGACTCAAGTGGATGAACCCAGGATAAGCCTGCCTCCTCTTTCTGCATGAGCCTGCGCACCCCGTGGCTGGGTCAACTTGGGTGACTCCTCTCTCCGTGAGACCACCTGGTGAACAGAGGGTGCTGACCTTTCTGCCCCAACATATGGATCTGGAGCCTGCCCTTGGGTCAGCTGGGTGGCAGAGCAGGAAGGTTCAGTGGAGGCCTGGAAGAAGAAGGTTCAGTGGAGGCCTCTTGCAGCTGGAGACTTTCTGCTAAGTGGACTCAGTGCCAAGGTCAAAGTCATGTCTACCTGCTCCCAATGGTTATGGAGGTCTGTGGTTTCCCGAACAGCATGCGCCTAGGCTCAGCAGACATTTGGCAACTTTAGATGGTAATTTGCCTGGTCTCGCCTCCCCTTACTCTTGGACATGCCCCTGGTGCACATGGTCTGTACTGAGGCAAGGCTCCCGAGCACCCTGTTTGGAAGTATCACATGGGTGTCCAGGCCCTCAGAGAACAGCCTGCTGGGCGTGTGCAGAAGCTGCAAAGCAGTGACCCACCCCGGTCTCCCTGATGACAGAGCCCACACCAGCATGCGTCTTTGGGACATGAGCCAAATGGAGCACCAAGGAGGGGGCCGTGGCCACTACAGCAGTCCCCAGGCCCAGTCCTGTGTGGGGCCAGGTGAGTGCCCAGACATGGGCATGGGGACAAGCCATCAGAGGCCAAAGGCCCTCAGGTGAAGGCAAGCCATGGGCCACCACAGCTCATAGCCCAGCTCCACTGGGTCACACAGACACGCAGTTCACAGCAGAGGAGGGGCTGCACTTTCACGGGACTGAGTCCTGTACCTGCAGCTCCTGGTTCCTCCCAGCAACACTCCACCGTCTGCAGTGCACAAGTCCTGCCTCTCCTGGGTCTTCTTTCTTCTCACTGTCAGTGTACACAGGGTTTTCCCATCTGCATTCCACCTTTCATTGTGTAGAAATACAATTCCTACCCACAGCTTTGCTAATTCCTCATGTCAACTGTGCCTGGGGAC